AAAAAAAAAAAAAAAAGTAACGTATCTGGCACTAAACAGAAACAAGTTTCCTAAAAGCTCTCTAAAGCCTCTGAAGTACCATTCACAGAGGCGCGCAAAAGAAAGCCAAACAGGAACACAAAAGTTAAGCTCAGTTCATCCTATGTTTAAAAACAACAAGCAGTATGGTAAGCATTTCTGTCTCCCATATGATACAGTCTTACCTTCTGTCTTCCCATTTTTCAGCATATGAACTAGCCCAGAGTTCTCCATTTCCACTATAGTTTTCATATGCTTGGAAATAAGCTCCCTCTCAACAACTTTCACAATTGGCTCTTCTGTTGATTTATCCAGACAGTGCATCACCCGTTCTATTTCTTCATTAATTCTAGCTTCTACTTTCTTTATATATACAGAAGCACTGTTTTCAGCTAAAAATTTCTGACTTTCCATCTGTGATTAACACAAATTAATACTTTAGACTTCTTGTATTTTAAGGAGGAAAAAGGAAATACACTGGTTATTTCAGATCAGCATTCATCAACAAGTTAAATCACTCCCAGCATGTCCAACAAACAAGACCTCCAAGATTTACATACAGGCTTAACACAAAACAAAAGTTCTATTGCACTCACTGTGTTATGTATGTATGAGGGTGCACGAACACAAGTGTGGTATTTTCCACGCTAAGGTTAACTAAATCAGCCTAATATCCAGTGACCAACAGCACTTACAGCCACAGGTCCAAAGAAATCAAAGATGGGAGAAGCAAAAAATAAAATTTCTTTTCAAATACCAGTCAGTGCCATATTTATGAGTTACGCGCATCAATGGTTTTCTCGTTGTTCTTGAGAATGTCAGTGCTCACCATTACATTTAAATGATGGTAATTCTGTGAAATCAGTGTTATTTTTTCCTCAAAGTTAGTCACACTTTTTATTTCATTTAACAGAGATTGACATACTTGTCAAATACCACTAACTCTCACGATTCCAAGCAATTATAAAAGCATTCCAAATACAAGTAATTACAAGACTGCTGTACCTGAAAAAATTCTGCAGACATCTCCAAAAACGGAGCCTCAAAGTCTTCTTCATAGACTGACCTTCCTTCAAGACCTAGAATCATTAACATCTGGCAAGCATTTCTTATTGCGCCTCTGCCAAAAGTAAGTTGTTAACAACTTCAGAAATCAACATAACATAGGGAGTTCATCGCAACAACAACTCAGAAAACTTTAACTTAAAATGAACTGATAAAAAGTCTGTTTGTTGCATGAGAGGTTTTCCAGAAGATTAAAGCAGTAAGATTATTTCTGTTCAAAACTAAGGAGCTAGCTGACAACATTTATTTTTTAAATTTAATGATAGGAAAGCAGGTCTCAAGTCCTACCAATTCTGAAAACTATTAACAGGAATATATTTCACCATGCAAGAAATAACCAAAGAAAACTGAAAACTGCATGTGTAGGTTAGTAGTAAACAAGGCAATCTGCACAGAAGGTGCCATACTGAGTATGAAAACATACCTGCAACTTAAGCATCTGTTTAGGCATAAACACTGATAAAATTCAAAAACATAAGAATTGCATCTATGAAAAAATTCTAGGTTCTGGCAGCAGAGGATAATATACAGCTGTTGCCAGCATGTGTTTTTCTCTTCATAAACTACATGTTGGGTAATCCCAATTACAGAACTGCAGCCAAAGTAGCATGAAGTTTACGTATCTCCACACCCATCAGCTGCTCCGAAACCGGAGAAACAAAAAATGTGCAAACTTCGAGTGACTTCAGCTGCAGCATCTGAAGTGCATGCTATCAAACCCTACTTTCACAAATATGGCAAGAGAACATGAGGAACAGATTTTAAAGCCCAGAGGTAACTGAACTACTAGGAACTAGATGGGTTAAAACATTAGGAATTGAAATGGAAGACTAAAAGAAAACTTCAAAAATCAAACAAAGCAGGTAGAGGAAATTTAAACAGCCTTTCAGTACAGAGGACAAGCAGGATGACAACAAGGGGCAGAGAACTGTCAAACCTCCACTTTTATTATCAAATGCTCTGACAGAAAATGGTAATGGAGAGATTTAACAAAAACTTCAATGAGGATCTCAAGATTAATATGAGGAATGTATTAATGAGCCTATCCATTTGCCATTATTTTAAGTTTTGAAAAAAGAAGAAATGTGGTTTTTTTTCCACGCCATGGAGAAACATTTGCTTAAGTAAGGATTTAGTTGTGTATGTTTGTGATTCACTCAAGGACTGGTAAGTATCACTTGCAACAGAAGACAGTCACTCACAAACATCTTACCTGTCTACAACCTCTCCTTTCCTTTCTCTTGCAATCATATCCAGCAGAGTTTGCCGTAAGTGATCTCTAATACAGCCGTAACGCACAACTTGATCTCGAAAAATAATCAAACCCAAGTTGTAGACATTCTCCACATTATTTTGTTGTACGTAGACACGGTCCTACAACAAAGGCATTCAAAGCAATAGAACTTCAAATTCAGGCTATTCAGAAATGGAAGAAACCAGTCACATTAGTGCTGTACAGATATAATCAAGTGAGTCTTCTCATCATTAAAAGAAAGTAACCTCAGAATCAGTCCAACTTACCAAAACTTTATTTCATAGGAAGTCTACATTGTTTAAGATTGTAAGCACAGCATTTATGACTAAACCAGGCAAGAACAAATCCACACCCCTGACACTTTTTCAGAGTAGGGGGAGTCCTCAAACACTCAGAAAAATCATGGCATAATCTGCAAGGATTTTTTACTTAATTCCCTCCCATCCACCCTCTTTCTCTTCTGTAAAGAGTAAGTTATTTTTTCCCTATATCCCATTCATAATTCTACCACTCAATTTCACAGTTCCTCCTCATTATGTAATGACATTTCTTGAATTAGCTGAACAGAAGTAAAACCAAAATAATTACAGTCAAAGTTTATCAACAAGTAATGCAAACTGTTTTAAGGGCTCCTGTTGGACCCATATTAGAAAGCTTCCTACCTTTCAACCTGAGCAATTATCTTGAAATGTTGTTCTATAAATCTGTACTAAGCATAACACTGTTCTACCTCCCTACTCAATCTGTAAGATGGGTCAAGCTGCTTGACCATCTTCTAGCCCTCTACTGCATACACTCACTAATCCAGGCTGATGCTCAGAACAACGTTACAAGTCTAACAAGCATGAACACCACCATGCAGTTCACTGACACGCTACTGAGCAGACACACACAGTTTTCTTACAGCTATTTACAGAAACGTCCAATTTTTTTTTTCTATGTTTAGTTCTGATTGATGAACCTCTCTTCTGTTCCTTCCCCCAGCTCATCAATGCACTAGAAAAGCAAGACTTGATATAATCCATTATTTTGAAGCAACTGTTCAGTTCAAGTTGTAACTAAGAAATACTGCTTAAAACTTCGGATGCTCGTAGAAGTTGAAATGTTCTGTACTCACAAATCTGACTGTGAAAAGGTTTTTGAAGAATTTACAGTTAAATAAAAATAACAAAAAAATCTATAGAGGATGATGGGTAATGTTTTAATTGGAGTATAAAGATTAATTTCCCCATTGGTTCCATCAGTTACCTTCTTAAGCACTTTACTATACTCAGAATTCAAGTAAAAAATCATTCAAACACAGAAAATTAAACTTTTTTTTTTAAATAATACTTCAGACTATAAAAAAATTACAAGCTTGTACATTTACACAAGTTCCACAATTAGAAGAAATAACAAGGAACAGATTCCATACCCTTTAGTATTTTAGCAGCCAAACATACACAGAAAAATTATTCCTACAGCAATTACACAGCAGATTGTCTCCTGATCAGTACAGGAAAGCAAAATACCAGTTTCCACAAAGCAGGAATGATTGTCCACTAATGCCCTGCAGACAGGTAGCACGTAGTTCATACAGCCTCTGTGGTCCAGGAAGCCAGCAGAACTCTGCCTCAAACCAAACACGTTACTCCGTTTGGTATCACAGAGCCCGTTTATCGATACACGGTGGTCTAGATCCTTAGAATGTTATTTTTCATTTCTCCTGCTGTTTGGAAACAATGCAATTTATTTCACTCTTTTGCTTATGCACCTCCATCAAGAACAAAAGTAACCATGATGCTGAAATAAGTTTAAAGTACGCTTTTTAAGGAGATGAAAGAAAATTAAGTGTCTAACGCGTTCTGTCACTTGTGGTTCAAAGAATACATATTCAATTTCTAAAGAATATTATAAAGAATATTCAGGCCTCTGAAGAACAAGAAGCAGAGTATCTAAATGGATCAAAGCAATGGTTGTGACTCATCTGTGTGGTTTCTGTTGTGGCACCCAGTATTTAACACTGCCATTATGAAATAAAGGAATAACTGCACTAGAAACTCTTCTCAGTGCAACTCCAACCCCCTCTTCAGCAAGCCAGACCACTCCATAGCACCCAAATTAAAGCAGCAGCATTAGCATTCCTGATACTGCTGATATGCTCTCCCTCGGTACCAATCTGCATTGTTGTTTACTGGAAGCTTCCCTACCTTCAAAAAAAAATAAATGTTGGAGCCAAGTAGCTCCACCTGGGAACTGGTTTGACTGACAAGGCAACATGCTACCCAACAGCAATTCCTTCCCATGGGGAGAAGCAGCAGGTGCTTAAAAGGTAAGAGTAACTCTCGGGAGTCAAGGGTGGAGTTTCACACAGCAATTATTCATAAGCTACAGTGCTGCTTACACTGCAGAATAGTTCTGATCTCAGCTGAAACAAGTTACCTTCTGCACATTATCAAAAGCCACATTTTGCTCCACCTCTGCCTGGTGCATGTTCAGCCTCTGGATGCTAGTATACTGCAAATATCTTTAATCAAAGTTCCGAATATAAAAACAACACTTCTCCCTTCTACCCCATGTGTGAGCCATGAGCCAGAAAAGTCCTACACCCCAAGGTCAAAACTCACCAGGCCTACCAGTCAGCACTGGCTTCGAATGAGACACTGGCTTTGTGCACTGCACAGATGAGAGGGGAACACCCTTCAAAACACACAGCAGCATTTGAACAGCAATTGCTTCTGACAGCGTTTGCTGGATCTGTGTGTATGCCTATGCCCCTCAATGTGAGCATGCCTTAAAACATGACTTCACTCAGAGCAGAGCTGCTTAACTCATGACTTCACTACTTTGGTGCCTCTCTGCTTGCCGCAAACAGCATCATGGATGTACACTGTTACATCTCTCTGGCATCGGTTACTGTAGAGCCAAAAAGGAAGAGCCCAGTTCGAACATACTACCAAAATACAGTGTAGCTACATATTCCTGACACTCAATTGCTGGCATTGAAATATCTCAAGAAAGCTACATTTATCTTCACTGTACAATTTTAGGTTGCAAAACTGTAAGCAGAAAGGAGAGCTTGTACAATAGCCATGAAACCAAGCAAACTTTTATCAGACAAAAGAGGCACAGTTATGCACTTCTCTTTTCCTCAAATACAATCATAAAGCAACTTTTGAAATGTCCCGAGGTTACAAATATAAATGAACTTCTGCCAAAAACCTCGAACTGCAAATATACCAGTTTACAAGTAAGTACCATAATAATGCACAAACCACATCGTACAAAATATAAACTTTTCTAAAAAGATGCTATTGAACTCATTTTCATTTTAGAAGTGGCAAATCTGAACAGAAAAAAAAGATGAAGAGGTGATGGCAAAGTACTTGCTTTGAATTAGATCATTATGGTTCAAAATAAGCCAGAAAATGAACAGCACGAAAACAGACACAGATTAGATTAGGATGTACAATCACTCAGCTGAAGCATGAATTCAGTAGAACAAGATTACAATTCTGTAGAATGAGATTAGAGGCTGTTCAATATTGTATTTTCACGGATGTCAAACTGTGGCTTTTTGGTTACAATCGGTACATTTCCTGAAACTGACAGATAAGCAATGGGGGCAGCCTACAAAATGAGAGAAGGACAGGGTTACCCCTTCTTTACAAACACACTATGGTTGCACACACTTCTTCTGATAGAATACAAGCATGTCAATTAACAGCCAATTGCGACTGAGTTTACACAGCGGTTTGCTTTTCATTTAAATGACGGAATATTTTTATTGAGATGATATTCTGTGCTTGGATAAAGATACAAACTTCCTCTGACTTACCACTATAAAACTAAATTTCATTCAGATGAATCTCATAGGAGAGCAAATAATTCCTTACTTTACGAAGTCCTTTATTTTAAGAACATGAAGGAGTATCTTCAACAGATGCATCTCCAGCTTATAACTCCATGCACCAATCAGCTATTTTAAGCGTTTTGAAAGTGTACATAGCACTTGTATCCTCCTGCTCTTAACCTTACTCTAATGAGCACAATTACATTGGCTCAACAAGTTATTCAAGTGACAAAAATGAAGCTGCAAATCTTCCAGTAGTCCAATTTTCAACTATCATTTATGCTTCAATCTGTATCCAAGCATGTATTTTTAATGACAATGTGTTCTGTGCTTCTTCAATTTAAAGACAAGGCCAGTTTGTCCATTTTATGAGCTCCCTGGCAAACAAGAATCTAGCATTTTACCTAATGAAGACAGTACATCTTCTCAACATGAAATAATGGTTAATCCTTTTGGCAGGATAAGGCACACAGACAAGAAAAGTATCACTGAGGGCATTTTATCCTACCCTCGTTATTTAGATACCTGGTCTATTCTCAACAACAGACAGGAACATGGATAGCTAGTAAATCCATTAAGAAAAGATTGTAGCTACAATTACTACTCAAAATTCTTCAGCTTTTAGTATCTCATTAATCAGCAGTATTTCTTCACAGCTAATCAAAGAGGTTCAGCTTCACAGTGTAAGATCTTCAATTGCTGCATGAACTTTGGTTATTAAGTAGATAACAGTATAATCTCAGTCAATCATTTTTCTTAACAATAAAAGAAATGAAGCAATATCATTATCTTATTCTTCACTGAAGGATATTACATATAATACTGTTTTTAGCATGATATGTGGAATAACAGATCTTACACACAAAACAGCCTCTCAACACATACCATTTTACTTCTCAAGTTAAGCCCTGGGCTAAAAACTATGTATGCCTACCACTCTGGGAATTTAAATACAAATGTTCTATCTAAAGCATAATATGATCCAGACAAAAACATAAGGCCCACTCTCTTCAAATACAACAATTTCTGTTAGCTGTAACGTTAGAACGCACTTTTTCTTATAAAGTTACTAATATCAAGCCAAGATATGTTTATCTATGCATGCTTTGTAATCTTAGACCTACCTCTGTATGAATAGCAAAACATTCAAATTTGGAGTCGATACTCACTGAAGAACACTGAGTATCTAAGCAGAATTATCCTCTTTAAACAATAAAGTTTAAAGAACAACAGCAAACTACACCAGCAATTTGTGCAAGGTCTGCACTATCATGTACAGTAAGAAACTACCTCTGGGTGAATAAAATCTAAGAACCACAAGATCAAACAGTTTTTGATGCATTTTCCTAATGATGAGATAACCAGAAAGAACCACCTAGTTTTAATTTGTCAAATAACTGTATGTTATGGTTCTGATCTCATGTACACACAAATTCAAAACATGGGATTAAAAAAATAAAATCAATCTTAGAACATGACTGCTAAGCATCCCTTGCCTTTCATCTCTCCAGCTCAATTGCTTACAGTTGTCAAGAAACAATCAAGCACCAAATTAAACGTGAAAAAGCAGAATACCCACCATATACATCAGAATGTCTCTAATCATCACCATTGCTGTCTGATGATCATTCCATGCTTGGTTTAGTGTTTGTAAAAAGTTGTTATTCAAGGAGTTTAATACATCTTCTCGCACCTAGAGCAAAAATGAACAGATTGTCATAAAATCAATCAGTTTCCCTTGCATCATTTTAATCTTAACAAGCTTTGCTTCAGAAAAAAATATCTGCTCTTCTGCGAACTTTGAACATTACAGACATGCTCAAACTTTTCTAGCTGCTGACCCTGTATATAATTTCAGTAGAAAAACAAGGCTTTATACAGGTAAGGAAAAAACCAAGCTGAAAACAAGAACATAAAAGGGTCAATTCCATATGCTACAGTGTTTCAATTACTATCATAAGTCATTTCAGAATATTGGAAAGTAATGGCACATGTTACAAACAGAAATAAGCTCAGGTAGAAAAGTAGCTGAGACAGTTGCAGTAAGTAACAGTTCTTTCACTCAGTATGAACTCCTATACCAATAATCCATAACCACTAACAAGAAGACTTAAGAAAGTCACTGTTTTTATTAATGCCTTTTAGCTGATTTGTTCATCCCATCAACTTCAGACTTCATTTCTGACAGTACTTCCTACTAATCAAAAATCCCACTACCACTCATGTACTCAAGAAAGGACAAATGGATGTTCAGTTAAAGTTGGCTTCTGGCAAACAATCTATACTTATACACCATGCAGCATAAATAAAACAACTTCAGTACTGCCTGTAATATGACATAAAACCATAAATTTTAATACAAATTTGGAGAAATCTTTTCCAACTCTATTTCCAAAAGCAGAAAGTCAACAGACTAAGTAGGCAATAAAGACCATAACAAGCAGCATACAGATCTCTAGGCAGGTTTGCAAAGACAGTGGGGGTAACCATCAAGGCTGCAACGTGCAGATGGGGAATAGCTTCAATTTCACACAGCCCAGCAAAACCCCACCTCTGCAGCTGGATTTCTGTGCAGTTATACATGGCGATTTCAGCAAGAAGCGATAAGTACGCTGAAATTTGTACCTAAAAACATATCCACAGTTCAGTAAATCAAGGCTTTATAGAACTGTTACAAGATTTTACAGGCTGCTACATTCCAAACAGACAATTTGAAGACTGTCAATGGTGAAGCAAGACCTCACTCTAAATGTTAGCAAAATTGGGAACACTTTTTTTCTGTACTGGAGGGCAGTTTTTGCTTGTCTAACTTCAAACAACTAGAAAATGAGACTGAACACCACCCTTCTCTGCACACTGAAGGGACTTCACTACAAATACACCCCATCTCTTCTTCTCAACAGTAGAGAAAGTCTGCTGGTGCACCTGTGCTGTCTGCACTCCCCCAGTATGCAGGCACAGGGGGGGCCAGGCCATGGCAGAGCTGCAGCCCACAAGGTCAGTGCCAGCAGCTTAATGCAGTATCGAAGTACATCATCTTTCACTTCACACTGCAGCACAAAATACCCCACAGCTGTGCTCTACGTCACATTAAGTGTCCTATGCTTTACACAGGAGGAATGCTCAGAGGCTAAGATAACTCTTCACTTGAGAGTCCAAGAATGCTTTAGCTGGTTTCTGTTCTGATCCACCAACACACATCCACTTCCCCTAACAGCTATAAGAAAAATCACCACAAGGCACCTAGGGAGAGCTTTATCCTTTTTATTTTTTTATTTTTATTTATTTATTTTTTTATTTATTTTTTGCTATGACCAGGAAACACTGCAGCCAGCATCCTAAATGCATTTCAGCTCGACAGCTTCAGCTTCACTCTTCCTTCCTCTGAAGGCCAAAATACAAATACAATTGAGAAAACTGTAACTTCTTACACATTTTTATAATAGCCAAGTCAATTAGGGCTTTCCCTAAATCCTCTCTCAATTCCTGTTCCTATTTTTCCTGCCCTTCTAACACGGCCAACAATCTTCTTCTTTAAGACTGTTCCAACCTGAGAAACAGAACCCGCATCACACAGCTCGTGTCCCCAGATCTCCTGCTGCTATCCATAAAGAGGATAGTCTGTTCATGTCACATAGGCATGGGATAATACATCCCTATCTTGAGTATTTATGGGCAATAAATCGCCTTTCATTCACTCCCCACCCACCAACCAATAGTAAATCTATCCTATAACACTCCATCCTTCAAAAAAATCCGTATGTTTTACATTTATATATTTGCATTTATACTTGGGTGCTAGTGTGAATTCATTGAGACTTCAAACAGGAAAGCCTAACAGGTAACAAGCAGCCACTAGCTGCAACGATCTCAACTGCAACCACCTGACAGACAGCATTCTGTCATTTAAACTTAATATTTAATAAGTGTAAGAAAAATAATGCAGTCTGACATATCTAACAACTTCCATGGGCATCACATACCATCCACACACTACGGCCTCTTCCAGAGAAGCTGCAGAAGCTTACCCTGGTAACACTCAGCTCTGGTAACAGTGGCTGATCTATGTACCCTGCAGGTTGTTCAGAGCTTCTGAAACCTTCCAACTCCTACACCACAGACCTGAGCCAGGCTCCCCTCCCAGGTTTTGGAAAACTCAGCGCTGTGGTGTAACACACAGCCACTGCTGCTGCTGCCTGCTTTGCTCCTTCTGACAGCGACTGCCACTTAGCTTTTGGTCTCCCAAAGGTGTGTGCTGCCGTCATCCAACCCGCGTAGCTTTTAGCTAAAATATAAATACACCACATACATTGAGAATTTCCCCAGCCACATTTGTAGAGCACGAGCTTAATTTCCAAAAAGAAGAGAAAGATAAGTGCCGGCATTGCTTTCAATTTCCTGATAAATATGAAGAAAACCTGGAAATGCACGAGTCACACTAGCAAAACTTATCAAAGAAAAACTAAAAGCACAATTAGTTTACAAGCACAGATAATCAGGGTAGGGATTGATCAGTTTTACTCAAATATACAGAAGACCATCACAGGTCTGTACCCTTATAATTGCACACACCCATGACAGCAACCCTGCTACATTAAGCCAGGGCCCATTCACGCACCAGCTGGTACCAAACAGGATGCTCAGGCTGCAAGGAGGACGTGCTTCCAAGCAGACAGACGAGCTCTCACACCTGCACCACCTCTGCTGTGCACTTTGCCAGGCTTTCTAAAAACACGTATTAAATCCAGGAACTGCACAATGCTGCACAACACAAAGCTACTCGAAGTCTCACTGTGAAGCCTCTCAACGACACACTCCCTCCATTTATTTTTAGATGCAGACAAGTTTGAAAAACTGTTCTTCAAGTCGCTACAAAAGCCAAGCCAGTTGTTGTTTACAACTGCTGTTAAATACATTCCTTGTACAGGCCTTGAATACAACCATATTACAGGAAAAGTACCATAGTGCACAAAACACTGTAGCCAAGCAAAAGCACAGCACCACAGTCAAGCAAAAGCACAGAGTAAAACTGCTGTGGTGAAATTAATGACTTCTACTTGACAACTGGATATTCATGATCTGAAAGGAAGCCTTTCAGAGACAGCTGCTGCTCTTCCAAAACTTAAACAAAATCTCAGTATGGAAAATTGCATTAGCAAAAACAAACTTAAAACTTTAAAGGTGGAAAGATAGTTGTAGGTGATACCTACATACTTCATACTTCGTACCTTGCTAGCCAAAGTACTCCTTAATGCTTGCAATTTGGTCTCCTACACAACTAATAACAAAATTCCCCCATCTACTTCATAGACAATATAGAAATCACCTCTTGGGGTCCTATCTAAGAGATACAAGCCTTCTCTCAAAAAAAAAAAAAAAAACCACAACAGCAAACAATAAATATTGCCATATATCACAGATATCCTTCTAAGTCCCAGAACAGACATGGACTGTTTACACAAACCTTCTGCATCAGCATTCCATCCCATCCTTCTGCACCTAACAACAACCCCCCAAGGACCAGCTGCGTCCCTCTCACTGTAGGCATTCTTGCATGCCCTTTGTTACCACTACTACAAGACAATGTACAGTTGGTGATAAACTCCACCAGTTTTGCCAGCAAAGATTACTGTGTTATAAAGCATTCTGGCATGCAAGTGACAAAACAGCAGCAGAAGCATTTGATAAGGTTTCCTATATCCCACTTCTTCAGCATTGCTTTAGTATCTCCCCAAATCAGCACGTTTCAGTCCACTTAGGTGTAGGACAGTCCTTGACATTTCTGGATCTTTGATGAGCAGCAGACTCAGGCCACACATTACCCCAAAAAAATACTATATTGACCTTGGCCAACAAATCCATCAATTTTTCTGTCTCACATACAATATAAAAAAAAAATGCATGTCTGGACAGTCCAAATTTTAACAGACTAAAATGTTCACAGAAGTGAAGAATTTTGAAAACATTACCTTGCAAACTAACTTCAAGATATCTTTTTGTTCCAACAAGTCATTTTACTTATAACCAACCAACAACCTGTACACTAAGCTTTTGGGGGGGTTTTGTTCGTTTGTTTTAAGCGCTTGTACGGCTTTTTTGTGTTGAAGGAACAGACTGGGCTCAAGGCTCAAGACACATGAAGAAAGCACCCAAATCAACCTACAAGGCTGCCAAACAACAAGGAAAGAAACAATCAGCAAAGTATTAGGCGCCCAATAATTAAATGCACCTTTCTTCCTGTGAGTGAATTGAAGTGAGAAGTTTTAATACCTTCTATTCAGTGACACTTTTAAGTTTCATTTTTACAGATACATAATATATAATAATAATAATATAACCATATTGTCAATATAAAGGCAAACACAAGTTTTAGCATGTCTCCATCCTGTGGTAAATACAAGATAGCTCAAGACAGCTAACTCCTATCAGTGATGCAGAGCAAATTACTTGGCTTCCTTCTTTCATCAAGAAGTCACAGCATGATGATCATAACCACAAGCTGCTGGGGTCTGCAAGTTCAAAACCAAGCATACTTTATAGTAACTTAGGTGCTTTCATCTTGTAGGATTGTGCTGTGTTTGTGCATATCATTTCAGTACAACTAAATACACTGCAAAGGCAATTCGTGGCTTTTTTTTTTTTTTTTTTTGCTTGGAAGTTAAATATTACTACGAAAGATTCTTTATACTAAAAATATTGGTCAGAGCACAACATTCACCTAGCAATTAGACAGGTATAAAGCACAAATGAAGTTCTTAACTATGCCACACCAAAAAAAACCACATGCACTGCAGGACTGACAACCACGTTTAACAACATCTGAGTACATTGCCCCTGTCCAGCCACTGCATCTACTCTTAACTAACATGACTGCAATACTACACACATACAACTTCCTGCAGACAGATTACCAGTAGATGCGGACAGCAAGCAGCAATTTCATTTGAAGGATTTTAGCAATTCAAAATGTAAGTTCTGCTCCTTAGAACTACTGCACACCTGCTCTTTACTAACATTCAACCACTTCTGCAAATTTTCATTTTAATCTAAGTAAATTGTTTTCATGAACTTTTATTTGTTGGAAGTTTACAGGAAGCAATCATCAGACACCTGAATAATTCAGCCAATTTAACCTCATGACATTTAACTACTAAAAGTCAGTATTTTTTCTTATATTAATAAAATGTTTCCCCTGTTAATCAAATGGTATCTGTGCATATGGTTAATTACATTAAGAGATCAGAATGCTATAGCACTAGACTCCTTAAAAGCATTAGAAAGACCAGCATTAAGTAACAGAAAGGCATTTTTTCCTACACTAGCACCTGTACAAGCCTCTCAGGCAGTGCAGTGACTGTATAAATGCACAGGATCTGCTGCTCTTCGGTCAATTTGCCACAGTCAGTGCTTCAGAATAATGATTTTTGCATATGGACAATTCAAATGAACAGAACTGGGAACAAAGACAAGCAGCCTTCCTCAAATTAAAACAGGATAATCTCAAAGTGAAAAAAGTTTGGTCTCCTAATTGTTATTAAATATAGACTGGAAATACTGGGGTATATAAGAACAGAGCACAAAAAGTCTCAGCCATCTGCCACATAGTATAGGAATAGTGCAGATTATGAATGCAGGTGTTACAAAAACAGGATGAGCTACAGTTATAGAACACTTCTAAGTTATTTAGCCACTTCATGCAGGATGTTTCCTCTCACACAACAGTAAAACAAACAAACAAACAAAAAAAAAAAACAACAAAAAACCAAAACCCCCAGTATGTCCAAAGCAGGTTTCAGACTGTATTTATCTGGACTGTGCCACTGAAATTCAGGATTTTAGAAAATAAACTCTTTTCACCTGTGGCACAGCAATGACACACATCTCTGCATGACCACTGCAGTAACTCCAGTCAGTGGGCACAAAAAGCTTTCCAAAGATCATGCACTATTTAGACGAGCCTCCCACCCACCCTCTGTATTTCAGCCAGCAGCAATCATCCAAGATGCACAATGGTGGACGGCTGTTCTAATAAAAGGACAAAAAATTCTGACACTCCATCGGAATCCACAGTCAGAATATGGGATCAAAGCACCTTTCTTTTCCAAGACAGGTAGGTACGAATGTTAATGCAACAAAACGAGGCATCCTACCTAGACTTAGGATCCTACAACTTCTAAATATTATCTGGACTTTGAAAAATTAAGGTTCAACTTGGCTTCATCAATAACATTCTTATTAATCAACCCTAACTCTATCCATCACAACTACAGAGATTGTTCCCTAGTTCAATATGAGATATAAAGGGAGCTACGTCTTCAGAAACAAAACTTCTGCTTTTCACTGTGGCCGAATTACGCGGTTTTGAAAAAGCTGAAAGGGTAGAATGCAAACTACCCAGGGCTTTTATTTTATTACCCAGTTGCTGCTGAGCTGACATTTTAACACATTGCTTACTGCCTATTTACATTGTGTAGTAACTCTCACTAACTCGTGAATTAGTTCATTTGCCCATAACAAGCAGGTTATTACATGAGTATTTATTTTGCTCCACAAATGAAAAACAAATCAAAATTAGCTCTGAGAAAGTCACAAAATGCCATCAGAAGGCCACAAACATCTTTTTTCTGCAAATAAGAATCCCATATCTCAGCAGTGACGCTTCTGTGAGTTGTTTGGAAGCATGAAATGGGAAACACTTCCTACAGTTTATCCTCCATCCAAAACTTAGAGCAAACCTTGTCAGGAATTTGATGTCATTAAAGCACCAAGTTAGCTCAAAACTACCATTTTTTGAATACACTGATACAATTTCAACAAAAGACTGAAAGATAACATCAGACTTTCATAATTTAAATAACTGAACAGAATTCTTCCACATCAGATACTTCAATTGCAATTCATAAAGGTGACATACCTTGTTTATGAGATGCTCAGTGACCACTTCTCTCAGTCCAGTGTAGAGCTTTTCTCCATGCTTATGCAACACCATTGTATATGCATTCCTATATAGCTCTTCAAAACTGAGACCACTATTGTTCTTACGCTGGATCTCTTGGATTGCATTTTTTAGGAGATCCCAAATGCTGTTTACATATTTCTCGTCCATAGTCATCTGTAACGATAAATCAAGACATCACAATTTAGAATCAAGAAAGATTTTTACAGAAAGTTACCTTCAGAAGCTGTAATTCCAGAAGCAGTAAGTGCTTCTGTCACATCTGGATTCCAATATCGCAAAGTCTCTCCATCTTCAACAAAACAGAATGGATCAAAGTGCTATTTTTCATAACTATTTCTTGAAATCTACCATTTTTAGTGGTTTAATACCCTCTCCTTCAAAACTGCAAATTCACAGAACCCAACCTTCAGAGTCTGCACAGGGGAAAAGCAGGTAGTTGTAGACACAAGTCTGGTCCCCACTCCTCTGCTACAGCATAATAATGAAAATGAGTTTTCTTCCCATGTCAACATGCTATTGTTACCCCACCAGACACACTGCAACACTGCTTAACTGGACTCCAAATCCTCTGGCACAACAAAAGACAAAAATATTCACCACAGAGCTAGCAATCTCATTTAGCCATCCATATGAGCCATCTAGGTGATCCTTATTTACAGCAATGCACTAATGGCCAAATAATGACATTTCTACAATTCAAATACTTACAGATGTTGAAAAATCCCACAAATTTCCAGAATTAACATCTGTATTGCACATATTTCCACTGCACAAGTAAGGTTACACGACCTGCTATAGGATATAGGTACATCTCTAAGCAGAACAGGCAGCAGTTATTGATCTGCTATTCAGATGCTATGTACTTTGGTAATTACACTAAGTAAAAACAGTATGAATGTAGAGAAAAAACCTCAGTGAAAGAGAGAAACAGTTATAAAAAAAGACTCAATTTAACATCAAGACAATTTCTGTCTTCTGCTATCTAGTCATTAGGATGAATCAGTTTACAACCAGGTTTTAACAACCCAAGTCATTCAACAGAAGGTGCTTCAAAACACGATGCCCTGTGGAGAAAGCAGCACCTGACCTAGCACAGGCTCAAGTAAGAGCAGCAATGAAGTACCTAATAGTAACACTGCAGAGTTTCAGCTATCAAGCTTCTTTATCCAACTGAAAGAAAAACCACTTCAATTAAAACAAATTCAAAAAGCAAATTTTGAAGATAAGTTTGGTTGATGAAAGAAGGCTTCAATCTAGCCTTTTCACTTAAAGGCAGGAGAAAAAAAATTAGAATACTGTTCTCAGAATTACTGTGAAGAAATAAAATATCCTTGAATTTACTAATATTATCAAAGCAAACATGAAAATAAGACTTAAAGCATATTAGTATGACACGATGAAAGAAAATCATGACCAGCCCTGCTGCACTTTCCTTCTTTTCTCCCCATCCACCTGAAAATACAATGAGGAGAGGAAGGACCCAGAAAACTGAAGATTCCTGTGCTTGTGATCAAACAATGACAAAGCCAACAAGTCAAAACCAACACAAGCTTCTGCCCTCCAGTCTTTGGGAGTTGTGGTTAAAAACCAGCAGTTCCACGATAACAGTAATCCTATCATTTAATACTCTTTCGCTCTCCTAACAGCAGATTCTCTAACCTACTACCCTGTCCAAACCCAAAACCTGAGAGATGTCAATACCTAAAAACAGTAATAAATCACACATTCAGAAAAATTTAGCTCCCCATCTCCCAAAAGCAAAACCTTAAGTAGAACAGAAATGGTTCTATTCTACCACACACGTTACGTGAATAACACATTGTGTTATTTGCAATATTTGTAATATTGAAAGGTCACTCACTTTCTTTTTGATTTGCATTTACTATATTGGTGCCTTTTTAGGGAAGTAATTTTCTGAAGCCTTCTTGAACACAATTTTATGAGTACTGATAATGAAGGCACCTACACAGAACTGCAGACAGCAACCCAAGTAACAGCTTTCCAGCTTTTCTTTCACAAGCCTGACGTTTTGTTTTCAAACAAAGTGGACTTTCAACCCAACCCTTCCCTATGTCATTGTCTCTCCTTACTAATCAAAAAATCTCTAAGCCAGCATGACAATTTTTTTTTTTTTTTTTTTTTTTTTTTTTAAAATCTCAGCTGCAAAGTAAGTTTATACCAGATTTATACCAGTCACACTTCGTTTTAAAACAGGCAAATCAGAGCCCCTACTCTGAGGACATATCTGAACATTGCTACTTGTTGGTCCCAAGGTAGGCATATCAGTACACCACAGATAAGCAGAACATCTAACAGTTCTGATCTGTTCAGGAAAAAAACAAACAAACAAAAAAAAATAAACACACACAAAAAAAACAAAAAACCCAAACTACTAAAAGGGGTCTATTTCTACTACTTTTAATTAGAATGCTATGAAAAGTGAAGGAATGACTGCAGTATTTGTTTGCCTCAAACTCGCTGGATACAAAAGCAAACATAGAGCTTTCTCTCATTTAGCAGCCAACACACCAAGCTGCTCTAAAAGCACAAGAAAGATCCAGAAAAGGTAGTTTCAAGGATATAAAGAAATACTTCAAATGAAAGTACAGTTTATTATCTTCTATGATCAGACAAAAAGGACACCGCTTCTCAGCACACCAATCTTTTCCACTCCCAACTTACTCTAGATTAGCATTTGTGAGATTTGGGGGAAAACTTGCTAAAGTTGCAGGATATCATGTCAAGTTAGTACAAAAAATTATTTCCTCTCCATTAGTGAAAAGTTGTTTGACTTGGAATAGAAGAAACCCTCATGTATCATCTTCACATTTGCATAAGAACTGCAAGGATAAAATCTACCCTTAGATTATTAACTTCAGGAATACAGAAATAGATTAACCTCAAGTCAGATTGCATACGGAGTATTTTTTAAATAAAAATACATCCCAAACAAGAAATAAAATTAGTTGAGCTCACAATGCCACCAGAATACATCTTTCATCTTTCAGAATTTTACACTAAAGCATCTCTAAAAAGCCTCTTAGAGAATTACGATCCTAATTTTCCTATCTGATGCAACTCACTGGATCCCAAGTAATAACAAAGCCTTTAAGTGATCCTCTTCCACAAATCTGAACACAGAATCAGAAACCAGATGTTCTTTCATGTTCATTCCCAGATTCCTTCCAACAGTTGAATATTTAAAAAATGAACTGTACAGCTTAAATACAGTTGTCATTCTTCTGCCTTCTATTACAGTAAAATAAAGGAAAAGCTAAGTTACTGTTTCTGCTTGTGCTTTGGAAAAAAACAAAAAACCAACCTAGATTCAAAAAAAAGTGTTCAGAAACAAAATGATAGAATCGCTGAATCCTCAGAGTCAGAAGGGACCTTTGAAGGCTGTCCAGTCCAACTGCCCTGCAATGAACAGGGACATCCCCAGCTCCACCAGGTGCTCATAGCTTGGTGCAGCCCAGCCTTCAGCGTCCCCAGGGATGGGGCATCCACCACCTCTTTGGACAGCCTGTTCCAATCATGTCAGTAGCTTTTACACTTGATTTCACAAAGACAGTTGGAAGCCAATGTCCAGAGAAAAGACATGTGCTAACATACTTTATCTGAACATCACCCTTCATGAGGAATGGGCAAGAGATCAAGTCCCAGGAAAGATGGCTGTTCATAAGATGCTGCTAACTGGAAAACTTTCAGGAACTGCTGCTCTGATGCTAATGATTCAAAAGATGCAACTTGAACACAAACATCTGAAAGCACAGAAGTACATTTTGAAGAAATTAAGACTACAATATTTGCACACAAGAACACAAAGTCATATCACAGAAATAAAAAAAAAGTCTGCAAAGAATTCAAAAGGTCCTTTATTCTACCATGCTGACACAATGCAGATACAGATGCACATACTCCTTCTCTTTAACAGCATCTGGCTATCCTCCTATCAAACCCTCCAAGACTGAATTGGCAATCACTGATTTCATAAAGTTCTCACAACCATCTCAAGCCAAACAGGCCACTGTTAATTCTCTCAAGTTTGAAGACTGCAAAAAGGCTACATCAAACTTTTACTTTCAAAAATGTTGCAAACATCACCTCTCTGGTCTTCTGCAGTTTTCGGTTTGATTGTATACACTGCCAAGTGAAATGGATACATCCAGAACTGGATTACCCCAAAGCAAAGTTTCTTAAAAGTTTCAAAAATGTAGCCAACACCTGCCTTATCCTTTCTACCATATCCTTTATATCTAATGCCCAAAGCACTGGAGCAAGAACAGGTTGAAGTTTCAGAATGCAAGCATTTACACCATCAACCTTGAAGGAAATGAGTGGATACTGGCAATTCAAGCCAGTTTAGCAGCTCTGTCGGTAAACATTTGCACCTAGTAATTGCACTCTGTTCCCACTGCCACCTCTAGCTGTCAGCAGACAAAATGGGCAGGGACTGACTGCTGCCATCAAGAACCACCACCGCAGTCCTGACCAGCTTCACAGCATCTCTCATCTCTTGACTATCTGTTCACTTCAAGGGAAGCCACCAAGACAGTACCAAGTAGTGCATTGCATAATAGTTCAGCATCCTTAGCCTGGGTCCTTCATTGTGGAGGAAGCTTGGCTGAGGTTACCCAGAACAGGGCAGAAGCAGCACCTTTTTGCCTCAGAAGCTCATCACAACCTGGATTTTTATAAACTTTTCCAGTATCACTAATTTAAAACACATGAATTTGCAATGACAGATACTCATTGCTTTAGTGTTTGCCACCAGAATCTCTCTGAACACAGCATTTTAAGATACAAAACTACACATTCTTTAGCTATGGAATAGATAAAAAGCCAACAATATTCAGACTCCTTTGGATTTTGAAATCTTCACTGCTGCCTAGTGATCAGCATCCCTGGCAGAGGTACACCACTGGCTACACTTGATCACCAGAAAACATCATTATGTCAAGAATTCAACAACTCCATAATCCACACTCTCAAAAACAACTTGTCTCAGACAAACTTAATCATCAGACACAACACTCCTGAACTGTGCTATCTGAACAGGTAGACTGCTACATACATGAAAACATGAATGGAAGCTACAAAAGAGGAGGTAGAGAGAAAAAAGTACAGAAATCCCGACCTAAAGCAGTTCTGCCTTTGGGTTACTACTCCACTCT